AAGAGGTCACATGACCGGAACTGTTGCAAAACTTAGAAGAGGTATCTAGGTGTTGGTTTAGAGTAGGGTTGTTTTGTTCAATTAAGATGGATTCCTTGACTTTTCGTTTGTTTACATTGGGTTCTTTGTGTAAAATGTTTGTGTTTTTAATAGATATACTATGTTTTTTTGAGTTGCAATAGTGAAAAACATGGGATGCTTTTTATTGTGTTCTGTCAATCTGGTTTCCAATTTTCTTCCTGTTTCTCCGATGTAGAATTCTGGGCAGTTATTTATTGCATGCTATTTTGTAAATGACGTTGGTATTGTGTGATTCTAAATAATTTTTGTTTAGTAACGATTTTAATTTAGGGCCGGGTTTTTGTGAGAATTTGACGTTGACAGGAATATTGTGTTTAATGGCTAGTTTTGTCCAAGCGTGGATAATTCTTGAGTTGGTTTCAGGAGCAAAAGGTAAACTGCAGTGTAATGTACTGTTGTTGGGTTTGTTAGTGTCAATTTTGTTCGTGAGTTGAGTTTTATTGTGGGTAATGTTGGAGTTTTTCAACTATAGCTGGTGGGAATTTATTGGTGTGAATAAAGGAATGCTTTATGTGGTTAATTTCTTCATTTATGTATTCCGTTGAACAGTTTTGTGGCTGTGTTTCTGAGGTTTTTAAGTGTATCGATTTTTTGTGTGGTGTCATGAGTGGAATTCAGGGGATGTGGAGACCAGTGTGTGTGTTTTTGCGGTGAATTTTGGTTTTAAACTGTGTGTCCGATCTAATAATTTTGAGGTTAAGAAAGGATAACTGTTTATTGTTTTCATGTTCTTTGGTAAATTTGATGTTGGGATGAATGGAATTTATGTGTTTAAAGAAAGTTAGTGTGTGTTCTGAAGAAGTGAAACCAGCAAAAGTATCATCGACATATCTGTACCAGTATAGTGGGGGATGAAGTGCAGAATGTATGGCTTGTGTTTCGATCTAGGTCATGAATATATTGGCAAGAACGGACGAAACAGGATTGCCCATACTTAAACCATCTATTTGAAGGAAATGTTCGTTGTTGAAAGTGAAGTTGGTTTTAGTTTTTTCAAGCCATCTCCAACTACTATTGTGATGAATCTGTTCACAACGGAATCAGGGAATAGCAGAAAGGGAAGTTGGTGGTCTGTGTTTTGGCTATATATGCTGAAAAATATGTTGGAGAAACCTCTTTAACCCAACAGTAGTACTTTGTACTTTTGTCATGATTTATCTGTACCCAAACTAGCTTGTGAGACGCACAACTATGAAGTATATTTTTACCATAAGAGATGCCCTTAGTCCATAGATGCTCTGTGGCATAATGAGGAGCAACTTGAAGACAAGTTAGACCAAAGAAGACCTCAAATGAGGAGCAGATAGTTGATTTAGAGAAATGAAAAAACCATTGAATGGGAGAGTAAGTAGAATGATCCATACTGTCTCATTTCAACCTGTACAAGGGCCTTTTTTCATTAATATCTGCTATCACATTAGCACAAGATATCAAGTCCTTCATTGAACTAGTTATTTGTCTAACTAGATCCACATCAGCTGGTATGTAGTTGAAACTCCTGTATACATTTAAAGATATTGTTACCACCCTGACAACCTTGCCTGAACATGGAATGAAGAAATTACAAACTTTCAGAGTATTTCATTTCTTTAATCTTTCATGATAGAATTCAACCACCCAGCTGCACTTGGGAATCTTTATTACCCTCATAAGTGGCATGCTGGGTTTTACATAGACCCAAGTATTGAATATTAATGAATTGTAAATTAACTCCGAGTTTTCTTTTTTATGATATCACAGAAGACACAATAAGCAATAATCTGGTCACCTTCCTCACACCGCTCAGAAAGCTTGTTTATTTCAGATGATATCCTGTCAGTGAGTTTGGTACTATTTTGTGACCAAAGAAAATGAGCCATAACTGTCTAAAATATATCCATTGTAAAGTGCCAAGGACATGAACTTGGGAAGATAGTATTTATTCTGACTACTTTTACTTGATTTAAATAGAAAGCATTGCTTCTAGTGGCAATCTATATGATTGCTTATGACACATCTGTAACTGAATACCATGGTAAGCTTATTTCAACTTCAACAATACTTTTACTGTAGTAATCTTAATTTTTGTGTTACTGTTGGTAATATTAACACGACATGAAATTTACTCTAGAACAGTGTTTCTCAACCTTTTTGGTCCAAGAGCACACTAAATATAGCTTATAATATTAAGGCACACCGAATGATATAGCAATACAAACATTTATTTAGAATTTTAGATTATACATGTATTATTCATTATAATTAGAGGGATATTTGGGCCTTCTTTGCTGCACATAGATGCTCGATTCGAGGCTTGATAGTGCTTATGGTTACTTGAAGAGATTTGAAATTTTTTTCCTTATTTTTGTAAGCAAGACTCTTAATGAGTCTAACCAATAAAATATAGTTAGATAAAATTACTCATGAAAAGTAGAAATATGCAGCACAACTTGGTCAGCATCACAGCACACAGGTTGAGAAACACAGCTCTAGAACACCAATTTATTACCTCATTAGCACAAACTGAATAAGTGCAATATAATTGGAAATATTCTTTCACTTTACTATTGTCTTTATGAAATGGTCATTTTTCAGCTTTCAAAATACATAAATGGACGTACTACGTAAGAAAGTTGAGTTTTCTGTACCTTAAGGCAATAAAGCCAACTTTCATCAATGCCTTCTAGTGGACAATCATGAAAAGATCATGGTTCTATATCATCATCCATACAAATCATTCAAATGTTTTCCTGAGGTATTCAAAATTGCTATTTAGATGATAAATTATCATCACATATGTCAGTGTATTTTTGTGGGGTTCATGATCTTTGGCTTCTTAGAAAAATACACAACACACATGCCATTTCCTCAGATGACCTAGTATTGTATTTGGAGAGGCTCATTTATCAACACCAAGGTTTACATAGTTTATTTGATGTATATACATGACTGGGTATTTTATACAACTTATCTGATTTTCAAAACTTTCATGATGGAGCTATTTTGGGATCTTAAATCACTTTGTCCTTTATATTCATCTTTTTTTTTGGTATACCCTGTAAACATGCTAGATTTCTCCATGTTTAGAATTAATATAAGAATTGAAACAAATATAACTTTATATACCTACCTAATCATAATTATGTATATGGGTAACAGGTTCATATTCAAATTACAAGTGTGTTTTGTTCAACACAAAAGGCTCACTGGGCTATTACATTGATAAATGAAATACAGCACTAGGCAGTTGTCTACAAGTAAACAGAAAGTATCATCTGGAATTAATTTCATAGTATTTTTCTTTACGTAGACGAATTATGTATTCTCATCTCCGTACTTTTGTATGATTTACTGAGAGTTGTAAATAACTTTCTTGGTTGTACAGTATCAAAACTGATCTGACTTAAAGGCAAAATACTGACCCTCAAAATGAGGACTTTTCTAATCAATTTACTTATTTTCCATTTCCCAGTAAAATATTCCAGAAAAACATCATTTTTTTTAACCTGTAGCAAGTATAAGTTTAAAGACTAACTGTGCTCTTGTGAGTAGTCTGTAATTACTCAAGTTGATGCTGCATTTGCAAAAATACATATCAGTGTGGAAGATAGGACCAGTTCTTTATTTCTTACTCTTACAATATGAAGTCTGACTTCAGTCCTTCTTATTAAGTTTTAAATGAGCATGCATAAACACTTTTGGGACCAACCGAGTTTGTGTCATGTTGTAAATTTATATTATGCATGTTGTTTTGGACTACCATAGTTGTTTTAGTCGCATAATTATGTCAGTGATCAGATTCTCTCCCACAACATTTTCATTTGTTATAATTATAAAAAAAATTATTTAGTTTTCTGTTGGATAATTAGTTGTTATAAAAGCTGTAAAGTAAGTTTATGGACCGAATTTTTGTTTACATTGGACCCCCAAGTTTTAATATAGAAACATTTATTGTCATCCTACTGGAGGACAATAAGGATAAAAAGATCATTTTCATTTATGAATTTTTAACCTTCTAAACTGAATTTTAAGAAATTATTTTACAGCAATTACAGTTTATCAAATATACTTCCAAGTAAAATATAAGAATTTAAAATATGTTGACTAAGACTATTTTTGATAATGTGAAAGTTACACTACTTAAAAACTGAAGTAACTTCCTCGCCGACTAATCAGTCTAGATTATGACAAAAGCAATTAATATAGCATAAAAAAGATCTCTGTTCCAGTTGTAGTGCTATAAAATTGATCTCCTAGGAGTTACTGTACTGTGTTGAAGAAAGTACAGTCATGAAAAAAAATGTACTGGAATCTGCAACATTTATGGGGAAACTCGAGAGAACATAGGATTGATCAAGAACTTTTCCTCAAGATGAAAAAAAAATGTTTAGCAATACAATACAAATAGTTTTTGATAATGTGGCTTGGAAATAATAGGTAATTATAAAATGTTATAAAGTGTTAGTATTTGAAGAGTTGTTGATGAGAAGTTTACCTGTACTCAATCTAATCTCTTTGTATTGTTTTTTAATATCTTCTTAAAGGCTATTTTCATGTAAATAGTACTTTTACTCTGTGTACTAGCAAAAGTTCATTAAGATCAGTTTCACTTTTACATTGCTCTTAAGTACTTTAAAAAGTGGTACCATTTGTGAACTGTTTGGAGACAAGTTATTCAGCTTTGGAATGTAAATAGCAATTCAAGAAAATATCTTGCATATAACTGGAAATAATTTGTGATTCTGATGTTGCTGATTTGTGATATATTAAAGTGGTATATTAAAGGTGGCAGTTGGTTTCTTTGTGTCAGAAACTTTTAATGTTATTTTAAAATTTAGTACTAGCATCCCATGTTTAGTACATTTTTCTTTCAAAGCAATTTTCCTATTGGAGAACTTTTTCTATTTAGCATGGTTTTGAAATAGAAAATGGGATTTTCCAAGGCAGCCACATATGCATGAGATGTGGTATATACTAAGTTTCCCTTTGAAGGAGAGTACTTACCATGTCGGGTCTTCTGTGCTGATAAAATTGGCCTTTTTTGGAAAAAATTAGTGACAAAAATTTTATTTCCTCTGAATAAAAGCATGCACCTGGGTTTAAGGCAGAAAAAGATAGGTTAACCATTCTTCTTTGGGCCAATGCTCAGGGAGAGTTTAGATTGAAGCCTATGCTTGTATGTAATAGTAAAAATTCATAAAATCAACTTAATTTGATAAATTTTATCTAATGCGATGTAATAACAGTGCATGATATTGTTGCTCAAAAAATAAAATCTGCTGTGAAGTTTGAATGAATCACTGTATAGGGTATATAGCTAGGTCTTGGCTACATTACTTTATGATCTGTATACTGGTATGCCTTTATTTTCAGGTTTATTTAATGTTTGAGTATCTAATAACTACTGCAAAACACATTTAAAAGTTTCTATTTCTAGAAATTTTTTAATCAGGAATGCATACCCTCCTTATTATATATATTTTTGGGGGAAATGGATTTTTGTTTTGTACGGTGTTTTTCAGAAACACATTTTTACTGTGCTAAATGTGGGGATGCTAATATTAATTCCAAAGTATATTTTTCTTCACATTAAGTCATTATGGTATAGAATCATCTATATATCAGCATATTTGAAAACATTCCCTCACCTTACCCTTCCATTGCCCAATAAACTCTTGTGGTAATAAAGATAATCACTGTTGACTACACCCAGAGTATAAAACCAGCAGGTTAAATATTTTGATTTTCTTTTCAACAGTCTTCCTTATCAGATATTCTCTATAGAATATCTAGATATCTGACAGATTTCAATACTTAATCCTCTTTGTGGTTATAAAAGTAGTTGATCTGATAAAGGTAAACGTATACCAATAGCACATTTTCCCCAGAGTCAAACAGTTAAACTAAATTGCGAATAACATCTTAGTTGACTGGACTGTCTTTTATACATTACTACAAATAGGGTACAATAAGTGATTTGTTTTCAAACAATATCTTTTACAACTTTCCCATACTTGCTTTACATTTATTCCATAAATCTTGCCAGTAATTGAACATTATAAGAAACATTTAAATTTTAGGACATTTAGCAAAAGATGTGGAATATAAAAAGCAATGCTTTTATTTCCTAAAGTGTATATATCTATGTATATACACAAAGACACACACACACACACAAATATATATATATATATAATACATAGCATTTCCTGTACATGTTTGTTACTTCAAATAACTAGTAAAACTTTCACTTCCATTATCTTCAACAGAGACTGCATTTTGTTTTTAAGATTTTGCCATAAAACATTGAAATTTTAACCATGAAGTAATAGTATATTGTTCATGATTTATTAACCATTTTATTCGAGATATAGTTTGAACTCATATAAACAAAAACATTCCCAAGAAGAGCTCAGTGGGAAATTATGAAAGATATATAATAATTTTAACACAAGCTATAAATATTTGATTTTATTGAAGTTGAAACCAAAGTGTTTTACTTACAAAATTAACAATAACCTATAAAACAAAATGTAGCTAATTTAACAAATAACAATCTTGAGTCTGCCCTAGTTACATGTACTTAATGTATGCTGTTACAATATTTTTTTTTGTAACAATATCTAGACAAGACATTTGAAAAAGGTTACCAATATGTACAAGTTACTTTATACTTTGAAGACAGCACACATACCATATTATAAATTTTGTGAAGAGAGAGAAAAATCAAGTCAATAAGATAAAGGGATAAATTACAGTTCAAAAAATCCTAGATGAATTACAACAGTACTAATACATTACTCATCTTGAGCAACTTATAAATAGCATCACCAGTAATTTAAAATAAAAAAAGCTATGTATAACAGATTGAATCATTACAAGACTGTGTCCACATTCAAGGCTGAGGGCTTTGGATGCAATTATCAAGCCTCTGATCAAATCTCTTAAAAGACAAACTGTTAAAAGCTACAAGTTTACAATCCTAAGATTCTTTTTTTACATCTTTTTCTTCTTCCTCACTAAAGTTCAACCAACTTTGTTCTACTACTGTAGTTACCCTTTTCTCATATTCTCTCCTGTTCTCTTGATAAAGCTGAGCAGCAAGGCTATTTGCTGGACTGTTAGGGTTAGGTTCATCAAGAAGTGACTATAAAGAGAAAGAAAGAGATATACAATTATGTTTATTAGCAATGAAAAAATTTCTTCCATGAAAAATCCCATAATACATGTTAGAAAGACCACTGCTATGTTCACTTAGCATATTAGTAGTAGTAACATATCCTTTAAGCTAATCTCACCTAAGCTTCTATCTAGAGACATCATGGACAAATCCTCGTTGAACACAAAGACTGGGGAAAATTAAAAACTACTGTTTTACTTTTTATGTTTAAATATTATTTCACCAAACTATACTGTACATATTCAGCACGAGTGTGAATTTGACTTGTCAAAATTTTTAAATTGTATGACCTTACTTGGGAGTGAGAATAAGGAATAAAAATTAAAAGTTTAGCGATTTAACATTGAATTTACAATATTATTATAAGCCTAGAGTTAACCGCACACCAGTTTTCATCATATCTACATTTTAATACTTAAATAATATTAAATATTTTAAAATCATAACTAGTAATAAATTGTATTTTGTTTTCAAATGTGTCTAAAACTTGCATAAATCAATATGGAATTATTTTCAATATTTTGGATATTTTATTGGTTCTTAAACATTCAAAACACTTTACCTGCAAATACAAAAGGTGATAAACAGTTTTTGATAGTGCATTATGAAAATTAATGACTATTATTTATTACTGAACAGCAACTTTTTCTAAATCTATCATGTAACTGAACAGACTTGCCTGAATAGAAGTAAGGATTGCTGAAACATCATAGGTAGGGCTCCACCGATTCTGCAGAATATCTAGACATATACTGCCATCTGCATAAACTGAAAAGTATAATACATGAAGTGTTACGATGCAGTAACCTTTTCATGTAATTTTGGATTTCTTAACTTATTGAGAAAAGTTATTCAAACTGTTACTTTCTCTGATGTTAGTAATTCACTCTGTCCTTCAAAACTAAACACAAGTAGCTGATAAAACACTATTGTGTTGTTGACAAAGTTTACAAAAATAAACAGTATTTAAGTGTTTGAAAAAATGTGGATTCTGAAACAAAATTTTCAATCTACAAAGGGAACAACTGTAGGTTACAGCTGCAGTGTTTAATCTATATGGTAAACAACATACTGTTCATGGGGTAGCTTTAAAAGAAAACAGACTTTATGGATTTAATCCTTTATACAAACAGCAACAAAACTAAAAATCTGTATTGAAAGCCTAAAATTTTTTACTACAATAATCCATTTAACTAAGTAATTATCTACTTTTCTTCTAGAAAAATCATTTGCACGAGCTATTTTAGTAAACATGTTTGCTTTTCAACGACACTTCCTTTCTGGATCTGGGCCAGAAACTTAAGTGTTGCACCATTACTTTAAGTAATCAGATGTTTATTTTTGTAAAGTCAGAAATAAGCTAGACTATATTTTTTCATTTACAATCACTTAAAACTTAAAATTTTACTTTTTTTTTTAATAGAAAATATTTCAGCTGATTGAGGTCTTGCACAAGGTGAAGTATCCATTCGATTGAGGTCTTGCACAAGGTGAAGTATCCATTCCATAAGAAGTTTAGAGTCATAAGTGAGCTTTAATCTGATTATTTGTATTTATTGATAAAAAAAAATTTGAATTTTTCTAATCTATAGTAAATTTACAAGGAATTTCAAAATCTCAAAAAATCAGATATTACACAAGACAATGCTCTGTATCTACAAACATTTGAATGGATGCTACATTTGTCTGTGTGTATATATACATGTGCACACACAAATACACAGTATTTCCATTTAATAACACAACTTGTTAAAATGCATTTAAAATTCTTAAAAACAGCAAACTTAAATGATAGCTTCATTGAAAATGCATTGACAAGATCGTTAATAACTAATTTTACGAGTTTTTAAATCTTTTTTAAATACTGGTATGCAGGTAATTTTTATAGTAAAATCTGATACAATTTACATAGAATTTAGTATATTTAAACTGTAGCCTTACAGTTTTCTCTTTCATGATGGTAAAACTAGTACCTTTAACAAGGGGTAACTGAGAAACATTTACTGAATAACTTTTTTTTTTTAGTTTGTTTAATGAGAAACTATTCGCATGTTGAAATTCTACATGGAAAAAGAAGCTATCAATCTATTTTATATACTACAAAGTTTGTACTTGCTAACTATCTAATGCTACTGTACAAAGATCAGGCCAGTATCTCATGTTTTTTAAGAGCAAATGACATTATAAAGTTTTAAAAAATTGTCTGATCTCTCACCCCTTAAATCACCTACAAAATAAAATATTCACATTTTGCATTCTGTTTGAAAACTTTCAAGTTTCTAAAGCTAAACACAAGCAAAATATACTCCTGAAAGTTGGGATTATTTTCTTCCTTACAATGTAACTTATATGAAGCTCCTTTTCTTCCTTATATGAATTAGAAATTTCTGAACCTTCAGTTATTACTTGAAACACTTTCCTTTATGCCGTGTCTTCAAATAAGCTAGCTATATTATGATTTTGTACTTTTTTATGCAACAGAATGGTAGTAAGATAATGTTATTGCCCCCCCCCCCAAAAAAAAAACACACTTATTTTATTCTAGTAAATATTTTGACAAAAACTCTTGCTGATAATTTGAAATTACGAAATCTTTTGCAAACTTTGCCTCTGCAGGAGCTTAGTGGGGGTGGTGGTTAATTAAAATACAGTGATATATGTACTAGTTATTTATTTTAGTTTTAGCAATATATAACGAGTATTAAAACATTTCTTTCAACAAAGTGGAGTAAAACATCACAACATTAGGCCTATGACTGCATTATTGCTAATTTACCATATGTAAATGGCACAGGTGCTTTGCACCAACCCATCTTCTATGAAGCTATACATAGCAATGTTTACTATAATTCCAAGTTTACTAAGTGTATCTTCAAAAAATTTGGTAACATTTCCACAAATATTATAAGTATGTCGAGCACACAAAAATCAGAATATTTAATGAAGTATTTTTGTTTGTGAATTTACTGAATCAGTTACATTCAGACACTGACTAGTCTGATGCAAGGTGGTTTTCATACAAGAAATAATACATTTTTCATCTTACAATTTTCAAACTTTATTTCTATAACCTTTAGCACCTTGTTTTTTCAGTAAAATGTCATATCTTATCTCTTCTTTTCTCCACTCTAACACTAACTGTAGCAAAATCAGCAATGTAAGGTAAAACAAAAAGTTGAAAAATATGAAATAAATCTAAATCTCCTTTTTTTTCTTTCTAGAATGATTGCATATTGTAACAAACAATTATTCATTATTTCGACAAACAGCCAAAGCTAATACTTTCCAAATCCGGGTTCATTTAGCTTTATTGCTTTCCATCTGCACTTAGACCCGCTCAGAGTACTCCAAAACTCATTTATCACAGCCCGACAGTTTGGGTAAAACAAACAATTGAGTTACAAGCGCAAAACCAAGGAACTGCAAATAGGCCTCATGCACATAGCATGCGACAATACTGACTATCATGAGAAAAATTTTGTTCATTGAAGTTTTCTTATCTATCCTAACATGGTTCTCATTTTCTATGGTTTAGTTACTTTTATAACAATAAATGAAAAATATATGCCAAAATAGTCAATTTAGTACTTACTCATCTGAATTCCCACTTTTTGCTATTGAAAGATGAAGCATTGTGCATCTAATTTTTTGTAATGATATTAGTGTTCCAAAATATTTTAAATGTTTATTTCAAATTTAGAACAAAAAACATTATCTTGCACAAAATACATTATGACCAAAAATTACTATAATTTGACTGGCTTTCTAACTAAGCTACAAGTAGGTCAAAAAAATTCCATTAGCTACTTACAGCTCAACAATAACATCCACTCATCAAGAACCTAAGATAAATTGTATAGAAATGTATGCCAAAAAGAAACAACCTTCAGTAAATTCTTGTAGGGGACAAAATTCTTTCTATTGTTTACAAACATGTCTATTAAAGGAGGACACGTGGTGTAGATAAGTTAGTTGAAAACTATGACAAGATGGGAGGAGCCTCAATGGCAGGTGTCACAAATTTACATCACTCCCAATCGAGGTGTAAGGTTGAGATTTTATTATGACCTGCCATTATCTATAGTTTCAGTTTCTAGTCGGTTGACCTCTCTGACAGTCTTAGAAGGAATGAAGAAATTAAAAGTAAGAAAGTCAGTAAGGAGATGCATCAGATGACAAACGAAGTCATGATTAAGAATTTAATTAAATATTTCATGTTGAAATTAAGCAATTAAACTTAGATAATATAAAACTTTGGATTATAATGTTGTTTTTTAAGCCAAGTTTATCAACATACATTTATAATAAAGTTCTTTAATAAAATTTTGAATGTAATTCTACAGAAGGGTTTTGGCATGTGCACTTTACCTCCCCACCATACACATAGGGTTGAGTGTGAGACACGACTTTCATATCACAAGCATATTGCCTAAAGGCACAGTATACAGCTGTCATTTCTTTTTTTTTTTATTTCATTGTAACTTAGATTCAAAACATTCAACAAATATGCTTTATGCTTGATATTTCACATATTTTTATTGATAAGTAACTGATTTTTATGAATACAAATGCAGAAGTAGCCAGAATACTGTCACAGGGCTGGTAGCAAGAAATTGGCATTAATTACTTTATGATGCAAGAAAATGGTGGCACTGATAAGTGATATAATCAGTGGTTAATAGTTTAAAGCCCAAACCAACAAAAGGCTAATCAGAACCCAATTTCATTGACCTTTAATTCTCTCAGCAATTTATTATCTACAATCTAATATAACCAACATTCAACAAAACCATCATGAATGGTTGTTTATGAGAATCAATCTATTCAGACTAATAGATGATTTACGAAGTTTAAGCATTAAAAATTTCTACATCCAAGATCCTTACCACTGCCACTCAGAAAATTGCCTTACCATTAGGATGAAACATCTTAGATATAAATCTAACAGTAGGTGGTCTGTTTGGATATTCCTCTGTGAATTCTAAAGTCAGCTTGAATGTACCATCTTCAAAAGGTGTATCATGAGGTCTGAAAAAAAATTACTTATGAGATATCTATCTGTCTATATATATATATATATATATATATATATTACTTATTATTTAATTACTTAAGTTTAACACAGTCTTATTTTTTTTCCTAGGAAATAACACTTGTCAGATGTGTGTGTGACCACTGTACTGGATTTCTACACAGCGAATTGTAATTAAGTTTTGCATTATTTAGAGTTCTATTTTAGAAATCAAAGAAAAGCTAATGTTGAAAGCTGCTTTTCTACAAATATATTTTAGTCATTATACCAAAATGGTCTTTGAGACAAATTAAAAACTACAACTGAATCACTAAAACTTGCTTTATAACACAGCACAAAATGAAAAACACAACTAGTCCACTGAAAAAGTTAACTGGTTTTGGCATTAGTGCCAGTGGGTTGAAAAAACAATTCTGAAAGTAAGATCATTCACAATGTAAACTGGCATGTTTCTATTACAGGATTCTTTCTAATGTTGTACAGAAGTTTAAAGTACTGATATACATGTGATCTAAGGTACCAGAGTTGTTCTGTAGTACTTATCCATAACTTCTATGGCTTATTTGTTTTGAGGTAGTTCATCACAATTCTGGTAGGGTGACACCTGGTATTAGCCTATATTAGGACAAACACCACAAGTCCACTTATCAGAAGCACAAATTCATTCCTAGTGATGCCTTCTGCACTATAATCAAAGGCTCCCATAATCATATAATTTTCTATATCACAAAATTACCAAAATTATGTTGTAAAACACATTTTTTTAAGACATTAAAAAAACTTCCTTTCATCTAAGTATTTCAATTTTTTACTTATTGACCAGTTTCATTTTATAAGTATCCAGTCAAAATTTCAAATTGCTTGCCATTAACATTTTTTTGAAACTTTCACCAACTGCATTAGTCAACACATCCAGCTATTATTCATTGTTTAAATATGATAAACGTAATAATAATATTCAATAAATTTGAACTTACCAGAATATCTTGACATCACTATGACACTCTCTTAAGCCTATGTATAATAAGACTTAACTGATGTAACATCATAGAATAAAATCACCATAACTTTCAAATGAATATAATTCAAGACAAAAAAATGTTCAGGAATAAAAAGAATACCTAAATAAACTAAAAACATTCCCATACCTTTGGCTTGTATAACTAAGTCTTCAAAACTTTGCAATGAATTCTGCTGTTCTTTTGTGCAGGAATTACACTTAATCACTTTCTCATGAAACCATAAATTTCTTCTTGCATCACTTTATTAATCTTACACTGATAAAAATAGTTTGTAATCTACTTTAGCCAATGGTGTTTATGCTTTGCTTGTATTCATTGTCAAAACTGTTCTCATGATTTTATGATCTTACAGCATGTGGTTTGAACAAAAGTCTCTAATGATAAATCATCAGACAGAGAATGAAATTCAAGATAGAAACAAGTCTTAGTTAATTGTATTCTCAGGGGATGGTAGCTTCTATGTTTTGGGATGGTTAGGAAAATCTTCAAATAAAATCTCTAAGTGCATTGTTTACAGGCAATACTCCTTGGAGCTTTGCAGAAATTTAAATTTTGACAATTATTTTACATTTTTCTTTGTGAATTACAGTTAGTAAATGTTATCAAATGACGAAATATATATTCTAAAAATTGAGTGAAAACTGTTGAAATAGAATTACTATATTTACTAAAATTTTGAAATCTGATAAGCAGATGTCCACTCAACACACAAAAGGTGGTCACCTGTCTAGAAAGGGTTAAAATGACCATATTCAATAATGTTGCACAAAACATACAAATCACCACTAGTTGTTAAGATAAAAACCCATCAACCATTGGTAGACAGGTGAAACTTAACACATCTGTGGAGATTGAAGATTAATGATGTTTCTCTTGATTATGGTTAACCTTGATAGAAGTTCAAACAAACTGTAGTTCCTGCAAAGCTGAAGCACATCTTCTTGACTAAGTAAGACTTGTTCTTTGGTCATTGATAAGCAATCCAATTAAATTGTGGAATCTGTATTGAATCTACAGGTGAAGGAGTGGCAATGTTTAATGGTTGTATTGTGCAGATAATTGATTTCATGATTATATCCAAGCTGTCAAGTGTAGATAACGTTGTCTGATGATCTATATACAACTTTCCCACTATAAACCTGACATACCAAAAGAAGCTGAAATTACCTCTAAATCTGTCTTGTTTCTATCACTTGGAGAGTTATGATGACATATATATTTATATTAAAAACCTTCCTCTACCACACTAACAGTTAAAATTATTTTCTAATTATGTGGGAACAATAACCAAAACTGATCAGTGATGAAAAAAATACAAAGTGTCAAATCTACACAGGGTACTGTCTTTCCAGTGCAGATAATTCTTTAAAAATATGTTGAAACAAATATATATTCTCACAACTGGATTTATAAAACATGTGCACAACTAATGGCACACCAATTTTTTGAAATTGAATTCAAATGTAATTTTACACAACATATTGAATGTTTCATTCTTAATTTTTTTTCTTTTTTTATGTAATGCACAAAGCTTTTCCCTAATTAACGTTATGTTGAGGTCAACTGTTGATTATAAGCTCAAGAGTTTGGCACAAGTTCTACAGTCATGTAAAACTGTGATAAAAATTATATGTTCCAGCATAGAGTTACACTTTTTATTCATAAATCAGAATAATAAAGAAATGACAGAACAGTATCAATCTACAAACTAAAATTTTTAATTCAATTACAACTTGGCATGGGACATATTTTTACACACACACAGATATATATATATATATTTTTATAATAAAAAAATAATTTTGTTTTCCTGAGAAAACTTTGAACAAATTAAAACTAGCATAACTTTATAACATACAAGGCTTTTACATCAATGCTAAGATTACATTGCAATACCTTCAGAAAATGTAGGTCATTTAAGATCTTTTAGTGTGCTACAAACTGATGATGGTGACCTACTTAAGATGCTGTATAGGCCAAGGCTGAAGAAAGCAAACTGTGATTACAAATATGAAAACAGTCCACTGGCACTGAATTTACACTAAATCTCAAGGCATCTCCATTGGTTTACTTTACAACAGCACATACTCTTAACTGAGCACTCTATGTCATGGAATTTTCAATGAATCATTCTAGAAAGTTTCTGAAATATTTTAATACCTTCATCTGTGCTCATGTTCTTCAGCTTTTAACATTTCAAGTAAAAAAATATGTAGCTTGTACTGTGTATATGCATTTATAGTTGGCATCTTTAAATATAAAAAAAACTAAATGTAGATATTATGATAATGATGTGTGAATGTAAATTTCAACACAGATATTATATGTACTAGATTATACATAATTACAAATTTTGCAATGTACTTGTTACTAAAAAATTAAAACACTGGGGTTTAAAGCAAAAAACTAAATCGAAATGCATGGTACACAGTATCGTAATCAGAAGCAATATTGTACTGTGGTCAAAGTTAGGTTTGAAGCTATAACAGAGAGAGAGAGTGAAAGAAGCAAAAAAAAAAACCCGAGGATATGACCTTGCTGTCCTCAAAGCTAGTTACAGCCATGATGGTAAACATATCCATTAATTATAATTTTAAAAGGTTTTGAAAAATTATGAACATTAGTTTTATGGAATTATAAAATTATAATAGATTTTCAACTTAAAAAAAATCATTAGTTTATCAAGTTCTAAAATTATATATGTAAATATTAAAAACTTTTTGTGTGCAAGCTACAGTCTATACACACACATATCTTGAATTGACTATGCTCCGTTTCTAGCAAGTTATTATTTGAAACTCTTTAATGAAATTATTATTACTGCCTGCAGTATGTTTTAAGAGCATCCTAATGCACAAAATGAGATATATTAGGCTGCAAAACACCAATATTCTTATCACTAACTCTGTCCAACTTGAATTTATTTTGAATTACACACTAGAATTAATATGGTTCAGAAGTACACTATTAATTGTGTGCAAATATATTGCAGAAAACTTGCTATATAAAACAAACATTTGTTTGAACAATAATGTCATTATAAAAAGAAATTATGCCTGTTGCAACTTAAAATGCGCAATGAGACAAGAGGATGCTAGCTCTCCATTTAGTGGTGACAGTCAAGATGATGAACCTGAACACAGCAGAGGAAAGTGTAAACAGCATTGACAATGGGAAACATTTGTCCCATTCACAGTGTGAGGGGATGGGAACACTGGAAAATAAACACCCCACCTGCAGTGAATGGGTTAACATGAAGTCCCTATCCAAGGCATAAACCAGAGAACCATAGTCCAGCGGAGATTTAATATGGGCTACAGCTGGACAATTGGTGATAGTTGCTAGCTGATGGCCTCATTAATTGATTATTACAGTGTTTCTCAAACTCTAATACCTACAAATAAAGAAAAATTAAAAAAAAACAAGCTGCCGTGAATGATGTCAGCCAGCAGTTTGAAATTATTGATAATGGCAGATAGCCTTAGTACTTTTGCCACAACAAAGATAGGTTAAGCAAGTTTGGTGGCAAAAAATTACTTGATAGTTATAACATTAAAAACATTAATCATTGGAAACAATAATTCTGATTAATTGATTATTTTCATGACAATCTATTTAATCATAATTTCGATTTATCAACTGTTGGAATTGTAGTAATCAAAAATAGTAATAATCAGGAAACTACTTTTGGTTAATGGATTTAATTATAATTTCATAATCCATTAGCTTACATGACATTATTTGGTGTAATCACTGTTCATAAACAATCGATTATATCGACCACCTTTAGTGAGGGCATGATAGAAAGTTAGCAAAGTACACCTATCCACTTCACAAATGATGGAAGATAGGATGTTCACTGTTCATTGTCCTTGTCTTAATTTTATGCTGTTTTATAAGTCAAATAAAAGTCAGCTTATAGTCAAAAATAAGTTCTAAGAACTGTGTCTCAGCTTCTATGAGAGTTAAGCCCCTTCCGTTTCTAGTTTGGAATTAGGGTACAATCACTACTGGCAGTAGAAATGCATGCAAATTGTTTCAGAAAGTAAAAAAAAAAAAAATTGAAATTTTTTGCTGTGTTCTATTCACATAATTTACTGAGGGTAGTGAAAATAAACATTTTATTTTGGATGTCTAGGATCATAAATAATCCAAATTCAGCTATTTTGTGTGAAAAACATTAAGTTGCAAGTTTAATGTAAGAATTAAAAATGAAAAATATAATAAAATTTAATAAATATGCACATACAATAGGAAAAGTAATAAATAATAACAAAAGAACAAAGAGGTGACTAAAGAGTATTGAACAATAAAAACCTTTTTGAACTAAAAAACGAGACATCTTATTAAGAGATGTGTGTCATAAGCAATGAATAATCAGAAAACAAGATACAGGACAGGAAGATGGTGATTGTGTTTCTGCAGTCATGAGTTCAAGGTCACTTGAATGTAAGTCTGTTCACATGAATTTTCTTACCTATAAAAAAAAATGGAGAAAAATAAAGTGCCCACTTCCCCAACCAACCATGGAGTCCTACAAGAAGCCTTGTTACACCATGAAAAGCTCAACACAGAGGACAGTGCAATAATGCCAAGGTTTTGTGGGCACTATACCCAAACACCAGTGCCAGATATAGTATCTAAAAAACCCACTTAGGATATCCATTACTGGTTCCTTGTTGACCTCAACCAAAGAGGACCACTTGATTGGCATTAAGGGAATCATCCCACAAGGCCTCCACGTACAGGAATTAAATTCCAAAGTTATGTTGGAGTATATTAAGTTTGTAACCTTGGCATCACTCAACCAGCAGGTTCCTCTCCTATCCTTCACAGGTTGCCACACATAGTACACACATTAGTGGATGCTTGGATTCAAGAGAAAGTAAGCAGCAGAAGAACCACCTTCTCTGGGAAGTTCCCTCACCATGTACTAGAATTCACATTGAAATAGAAACCTATTAAAATTTTTCCTCAGAAAAACATTTTTGCTCTTTGAACTTTCACAAAAAACATCTAAAGGTGTGGAAAACAAGTCTAGTAAATGATTTTTTGAATGTGATTTTGAATGTGGCCTGTGTTAAAACTAAACTAAGAATAATATGTTATTTTCTTTTCTTGTCTAATAATGTACCTAGATGTATATTCAAGGTAAAATTTAACAAGGACACCATGTTAGTAGTGTTACAGTTAAAATTTTCTAAATTAGTGTTATTTAGTTTCAAGTGTTTTAATTGTCACCCGAGGTTTTTAAATTTTCCTATCTGAATTTTAGATATAATAACTAAAGGTTCCAAGTTCAAAGCCAAGTTAATAATGTAAAAATATCATGGTGAATTGTTGGAGAAAACAAAACAACAATACCGAAGCCATGTGGCTAAAGGATATAGCATAAAAATAAAGGATGATTAAATGAAAACATTTAGAACCTTTCAGCAAAAATTACAACAACAAAAAAAGAACACCAAGCAACATATGCATTTGTTAACTGGGATATGTGCTCAGCTAGTAATTTTTACAAGCAATGAATGAACACAGATATACATGTCTATCTTTTAGTATTTTCTACAAATACATAATTACTAGCAGCTTAAAAAAAAGAATCAACATTTATCAGAATTGTTTTTCTGCTCACCCAAAGATAACTGCATTCCAAATCATGATATTATTGTCTGTAGGAGCACCACTGACACCTGCTGGAGGATCTTCTTGTAATCTACAATGGATAATATGCATATAATACTAACATTTATCTCCATGTATTACTTAGCCTATACATAATCAAATACTACAAGAAAAACGAAATTATGTTGTGTTGTTGTTTTTGATACGAAAGATTCACTGTAAATGGGTGAATGATACTGACAGTAAAGTCGCACTACTAACTCCTAAGTTCAGGATTTTATATTCTATTATGGCCCATTCGTTTTTATCACAGATTATTGAAATTTCTTGATCCTACACATAGTAATAGTAAATAAATATCCAGGGCTATTTTATATTACAAGAAGCTAATTGAAATTCGCATACTTCATAAATTGTATGTCGATGCTACATTATACTCATTGTGCTCGGCATGGCCAGGTGGTTAGGGCACTCGACTCGCAATCTGCAGATCGAGGGTTCGAATCCCCGTCCCACCAAAACATGCTCACGCGGTGTCCGGACTAGGATGCTAGTCCTACTCCCGGATACACACCTCCAAAAGAATTTGGTGGTGTGAGAAACACCATATGCAACTACTATTATACTCATTCATACTTCATAATCATAGGTTGAATCATTGAAATGTGAAAGTAAAATTTACTAAAACTAAAGTAAAATAAATCTTGAAATAATTAAATCATAAATGCTTAGCACAAACCTTAAGATTACATTTAGCATTTTTTAAATTTTATTTTTGGCGTAACTACGTGTAACTGTTAACTTAAGTTGCTTCAAACTTTAACTAGTTTTATCTTTAATATTAGAATGTTATTGGTAGTAGTTTTGTTAGGCCTAAATTCATAATTAACTTGAAGTTGAGTTTTGACTTGTCATCCCATTTTATTTAGCTCTTATAACCTAAGTTTAGCTTCGGTTACTATAGTTCGTAAATATAGGGTCTAACTAGACTGCTACTGCTATAAACATAATTTTAAAATTTGTAAATTGAAAACAGTCCCTGGAATTCATGGCAAAATTATAAGTACAAAATTCTACATATTAACACACATAAGTTATCATTAAAAAACAAAACAAAAAAAAAATTCTTAACCTTTTAAAATCTCGCATAAGTCTTCTTCTAGCAGGTGTGGACATTTGGAATACTACAGTAGTTAAAATACGAATTATCAATTACAGGTAAAGAATTTCGTAATTTTGAAAAAAAAATCACTTTAAATTAGATTATAAAGACCACTAATATTAGTAATAAAATCCACAACTAACGAAACTGCAATAACCAATGACAACACCACACAGCGTACTGTTAGCAATATTAGAATTTATCAGTTTCCAAGCCTCTGCTCGCAAAGAATTTTTCATCCGGGCATCTGACGCTTACGTCATTATCTACATCAACGATCTCTCTGAGTAATCGCTTCTTTATTGACTTTCCAACGAAGCCTTAAACAATAACACGAGTCGAATAAAAAAATCAGATTTTGACAATATTGTAAAAATTATTTCTGTTTTGTACAATCATGACAATAATAAATAAAATCTTGCTGTTTGTTACTATAAGAATTATAAAAGCAAACATGTCTCATAACTCGTAACATTTCGTCAGAAAAACTAAAATCAGTTCTTTAAGCTTTTTTTTTTAATATTCTAATTTAGATGTTAGCTAGAGATCACATGACGTTAAATTTAGTCAAAGAATACCTGGAACGCTTAGGTATATAGTGATTGAGAGATTTCGCGAAGTGTCTAGAAACACGGCTACGTTATAAATACGAGAATTTGGTGGGCAGTGAGCCAGTCAGTTTAGTAAAGTATTTTGATTAGAGTTAGTTATTGTGTATATTTAGTTACTCGATCGATTAGCCATGCAATTGCACAAGTAAGTATTTTTTACATCAATCTTAGTACCATTAGCGAGGTAGTTCGTTTGAAAAGCCATCTGTAAAACTATTTCGGCGGCTAGGCCTACGAGTTAGAATAGCGTACAAGTTTGTTCGTTAAATTTCATGCAAAGCTATTAGATGGCTGTCTGCGCTAGAAGTCCCTAATTTTGAAGTGATAGACTAGAAGGAAGGCAGCTAGTTAACACCTCCCACTGCTAACTCTTGGACTACTCTTTGTCAATTATCAGTAGTAGACCATCACTTTATAACGCCTTCATACAGCTGAAAGGCGAGCATGTTCGGCAACGGAACAGTGTACAAGTGAAAACAGCTTGTACAAACATTAAGAAAGGAATTAATTAATTTGTTATCCTTATATGGACTGGATTTAGCCAAACAATTTAAAAAGAACACGCCTGATGAAAGAACAACATTACAAAGTAATAAAAATTATATGAACATTTCCTTCAAGTTCCCCCTAAAAAATAAAAAAGTAAATCGGTGATGGTAAATGGTTTACAGTTTTCCATGTCTTAAATTAGAATATCATATAATAATATTTAGTGCAGGAATTTATTTTACTTTTCAAGACGCGAACTGTCATTAAAAACAACAAGAACTTTATATATTGTTACGCCTCCAGTCGTTAGTTGATTTTCCGTAACTTCGTTCCGACGAAACTTTAGCGACACAAGTCCTTACCTAATAAAACTGGTTTATTTTTTCCGAATACAACTTTACCGATACACTTATTTTCAACAGTCGCGCTATAACAACGAACGTGCTCAACTTCAACAATACTATCTGACTGCAGTTCAATTACTCACTACCTACACACGTTTTATCACGTCACGTTGTGACCATCTTATATATACCAGACTACCTTATATCTAGTAAATGCTATGGCATTCACGAAGGAACAAGATATTTCCAGAAAGCAGGGGGCGTGACATTAGTCACGTGACCTCGCTGACGCAACACTGCCCCTCCTTAATATTGTTCGTCCCGAACAATAACCACATACAATAAACCAATAACAATTAACAATAACTTAATCAAATGTACAGAATTACAAACACAAAATTACAATTTAACAAAGTCTCTTAATTTTACAGGACATTTCTTTCTTCCGTACAGGTCTCCTTAAGGCCGACTTGTTGGTAATATTCTTCTTACACTGGCT